CTAGAGGCATTCTGGATCTCCGCAAGGATCCAGAACGACAATCCTAGGATGAACAACCGGAATGAGTGTCTGTCCATTACAAATGACCTCTTGCCATTTATGCCACATTGCGAGTCTTGATGTGAACAGTGAGACGTGCCGTTCCTAATACTTGCTGTATAAGGACAGCACAGTGTGTCTCACTTACTAACTAACAACTGACAGCGAGTGGCATCGTTCCGCTCATGTGGTGGTGGACTGGTAAGTTCGTTTCTCACACTCGGGTTTTTCTTGGTAGTTCTCCTAGGATTTTGCCAAAAACGCTAGGCGTTTGGCGGTCTAGTGGGCCATTTATAATAAAGTCTTCCACCTACCAACCTCTTTGACAGAACAAATTACAACTTGAGTGAACATGATTTTTTGAACTCAGGAAGTTTCACCGTCTTTTATACATTCCAAATCAAGGACGAAAAAGGGCGTTCCTAAACTGTGTCAAGGGTGAGCGCGCATTTTCGCACTGACTCACTTCTTTGAGGCTGCGTTCATACTTTGCGGCAGCGTCTACCAGCGTCCACTAGCGTTTCGAGCGTCCGGCAGCGTCAGCGACTGGGAAAGTATAGATATCGATCTAGCGTCTGCCAGCGTCTCCCAGCGTCCGCCAGCGTTTCGAGGGCCTGGGTAGCTATCGATCTAGCATCTAGTAGCGTGTGCCACCGTGTACTAGCCTCTATCGGGTATGTGACAAGAGAATCGTAATTCACCGCGCTGTGGGCGTCGCGTGCGACGTCGCGCCGCAAATGACGATGGTTCCAGGTAGATGGCGACAACAGGCAATTCAGAACCGAAAATAGTCATGAATGTCTACGATGACGGGGTCTACATGTCTGGTGCTCCAATCGACAGGTTAACACGAGTTAGAAAACGCTGCACAATCGCCGCGCACGGCGGAGCAGCGAACTACGATTCTCTCGCCCGTCTTCCGCGTCTATCAGTGTCTGGGAGAGGACAGTTTGGCGCGAAAGGAGGGTAGCAGACTGCTGGTAGAGAGAATGGCGCGATGGTAGGGTACCAGCTGTCTACTACCTTCCTATCGCAACGTACTCTCTTCTCTCTGACGCTGATGCACGCTAGCAGACGCCTACAAACGCTAGATTGAAACCTACACTTCCCAGAGCATACTATAATTTTTACTTCATACTATACCATCGAGACGCTGTTGGACGGTAGTAGACGCTGGTAGACGCTGGCGAACGCTGGGAGACGTTAGATCGATATCTATACTTTCCCAGTCGCTGACGCTGCCGGACGCTCGGAACTGAAGCGGTCGCTGGTAGACGCTGCCGCAAAGTATGAACCCAGCCTTACACGTCCGTCCCTACGCTATTCTGTGTAGACCCTCCACTGCTGAGCGTGCTTGGAAAAGTCCCTTCTGCCGTCAGGTCCTCACGACGACCGTCAGGTATTCTCCAGAAGCTTCGGTCCGAAACAGGAAAGGTAGGGGCAACACGACCTGATCTTATGTGATCATCGTTGTACTCTAAAACTGTCACGACTCTGATTTTGATTGTTCCTCATGGCCTTCCACGACAGAAGTTCAACAAAACGAACAAAAACACATTTTATTGATGTGAAAAAATAATAGCACTGTCACCAACGAAGAAAGCTTTTGAACGCGTCGAGGAAAACGAAAACTTCCAGAAGGAGGCGTCTTTTGAGAGAAAAACGTAAAAGTTCGATCGGAGAATACATGAATCAAAAAAATAGTGGCAGGCGGCGGATTGAATGATTTTTTGGGAAAAACCTCAATATATCATTGGTGATTCCAGCATTCCAGTTCAGTAAGTGCCACCAAAAAATAAACAACAGGAAGTGAGAGTTCTTTGGAAGTTTTTTTGCGAGCCAAAACAACAGCACGTGCTGCACTGATTTTTGTTCTTTTTTAACGGTTGGAAGTTTAAGTTGCAGTCACTTAGAATTTAGTGTCTGGGCGAGTTTCGAGCCATTTCTTCAATTCCGGAATAGAGCGAATCTTCTCGGCATGCGCTTTTACCTAAACAACGAACCATTACAATTTGTCAGACTGCCGTATGAGCAACGTTTCCAAGAAGGCTGAGACGCACCTCAGGGAATCCATCGTAGACCTGAGGGAATTTTTCAGCAAGTGTGGCTGTTTCAGCCAGTAGCAGATCAACCCATGTCAGCGAATCCCCGACAAGGTATCCTGAACGTAGTTTGATAACAGGTCATTCATTTAAGTGCGAACTAGACTTCTAGTTCACCCTACAAGGGAGATAAATACGCCATATCTTTCAAAAAGCTCATTTAGGTGAGCGACATCTCCATCAGGAAAATGGTAACTTTCCAAGGCAGTTTCAAAAGGCGATCTTTCTAACAATGCCAAGTTCCTCATGCCCCGAGTGCGGCAGCAAAGATCACTCTCATCATCCAGTAGACCAGGAGCGCAGGTGTGGTGTAGCGCTGGAGCGCTCTCGAATTTCTTTTGACGCTGTCATTTCTCGCAAATAGGATGTGAGCACAAAGATTGCGAAAGTGCACAGCAATACACATCCAGTGTACGACCGACCTTTGGCTACATGTTGAAGAGGCTGCGCTAGTCCTCACCCACCAACAACTCTAGTATTTACTTCGTTCTTGTCCAACGGAACACTAGGCGCCATTGCAATAGGCGTGGCAGCTGACCGGGACAAGCTAGATTGTCAAAGTGGCCTTTCAAAGAATAAATGACGTGTTGCCTAGTGTCGTGTCTTTAAACGCTGATTTCAAACTTCCCTTCCTAGGCTGTTAATTACTCGGGGGCAGTTCGGCGACGGGGGGGGCATTTTGCACTTTTGCTACTTCCCATCGACGTGTCGACCCATCTAGAGAGCCTTTTCTCGAGTTGACAGGTTTTACCATGGTGGCTTGACGAGCTTGCTCCAGCTTCACAAGAGTTCACAGGTTTCACCAGAGTGAGACTTGTAAACCGGAACTAGTGAAGCAATGAAAGTGCAAAATGCCCCCTCCCCATCGTCGCCGAATTGCGCCATCCTCTGAATAAGGTTATGCACCCTTGTTGAGCTGATCATAACTATACTCAACACTTATGTAAGTCAAGCCTGACCACAGGTAGAAACGTGCTTTGATAGATACCATCTGAAATTTTAGGCTCGTGAAAATATACTCTTACGGGTAACTTGGGGCTGATACGATGTACTGGAAGGGCTCCGCTTACCAGGCGCGCGGTCCGGGGTCAGGTTCTCGCAAGCAACCTCACCTTGCGGAGGCGGCAACTTGGTGACAGGACTGATCTAGCAGGGACTAAAGCGCCTACTCGCACATCGGCTGGTCCCGCAATTAGTTGTATAAGGTGCCTCGCATGCAATAGACCGCCACGATTCTGAATGAAGGTAGATCTCATGCCGCATACCAAAATGAATTAGGGGGCGGAAGGTAGAGTTCTTCCCAAGGGTGGTTTGAGCTCCACCAAACAAATATTGCACCAAGAGACGTATAATATTCGCACCCGTTGCCCATTCGCTATTTACTTACGGTGTGCGCTTTGGTCCCCTGCGCAATCCCGCTTGCATCAGGGCCACGGACGCTGCAATGCCATATGATATGTACGTTAGGAATGGCCTCAACATTAATTCCCTATGTACAAGGCTTCTCCTTGCTTCAAATTTCAACGAGTTCCAGAGCGCTTCATATTTATAGTCCGTATCCCGGAGATGGAGAGGGCGTGGCTGCTTGCATCATTTTAACATGGCGTAGGACATTTGTAAGACGGTTTTTCGAGTGATATTCCATTTCAGCGAACTATCACCGTGTCTTCGTCTGTTGTGCAGAAATATTTCTCACAGATGTTCTATATAGAACAGCAATGAAAACTCTGACAGCGTCAGTACGCCTCATCTATATTAACGCGGAAACCCTCCCCAAACCTTTTAGATTACGGAATGTATATGGATAAAAGGGACAGACTCGGAAAGTTCCATAACTTTGTTCGGATAATTGTTTAACTAATCGGGGGAGGGGGCAGATTTGTAATTATCGCTCGAAAAGACATCAGATGGTATATAGTAACTTTCCCTGTGTACGAGATGTTGTGCGAAGGGATATGGGTTTAAGCGCGGTCAGCGCAGCCTTTTCCACCAATTATGGCGGCTTCAGGATGGCATCATTGGTTAGAGGGCTTAATAACTGCTGCAATCCACGTCCCTCCCCCATATCAGTTGAGCAATTAGGTTACTCCCTCTCCTTCGCAAATGACTGTACACCATATATTGGATGGCGACTTCGGCCTATCATCCTTTCCTGGTGGATAGTTGGAGGTGTGGGTCATAGTGGACCCACAAGTTTCGATCGTAGTGCCAAGTACAACCTTTGGAAATTATGGCGACACTGGCATGAGCAGGGCCGTCATTAGTTATTAGTTAGGTTGTTTATGTCGGTTCAGTAACGACCCCCCCCCCCTCCTTATTGAAGGGCGACTCTTCCGACCCCTGTTTCCCTATCCATTGCGACCACTTTCTCTAACCCCATTTCTTAAGATTTATTTTTTCCTACTGTACCCAAAATTCTCTGTCGAGCAGGAAAGGAGATAAACAGTACATGTGAAATAGGAAAACCACGAAAAGTCAACAAGGAAAACACGAACCCCCTTCCCAACAACGAGGAAATACGATTTCCCCCCCCCCTTTATAGCGGTGCCGTGGACAGAAAAATCAAACTGGTCAAAAAATTTCTCCTCAACCCGAATACGAGCCCCCCTCCATTGCGACTTCCCTCTGTTGGAGAATCCCCAACAACGATGTGCCCTGGGCATTAGATTGAGGGTAATGGGCTGGTTGATGGCGAAGCCGGTCATAAAAATAATGGGCAGTAGCGCGATAGAATCAGTTATTAATTTCGCAATCAGAGGGCTACCAGTTTTGTTATTATTTAGTATTTTCGCCATAAATCCGTAGAATTTGTGGAAAGCCGGCACAAGCGTATCTTTTCCTATGGCTTCCTGAAGCAAATAGTTCGTCCACTATTTTTATACATGAGAATTTCAGAAAAGAACGGTGGGTAAGGGGGTCCAGAATGCTCAACAAATTTGTCAGCACACTTGGACAAAAGGAAAAACTCATGTTCAACTCACCGCATCACCCTTTTCAAATCCAAGCAGTACTCTGAAGTATGGACGAATCTCTTGGAAAAAGTCCTTGTACTGGTCGGCAATAGCGTCCACTTGTGCCTGATCCCAAGCGGTTTTGCCGGCATAACCTGAAATGCAAATGCTACCAATCATTCAGTTGAGCTATGGGAGCGCACTCACCAAATTCCCTGGCAAGATATCGGAGAATGGCATGCGACTGGCAGAGTTTCTTTCCATCAACTTCGAGCACGGGCATTTGACCAAAAGGCATCTCTATAAATACGTGGGTTTGCTTCCCTTTATCTCTCTCTCTCTCTCTCTCTCTTTCTTCTCGAACTTGGATCCGTTTTTGAGCTCTCCACGTAAGCCAGAAAATCCTTTCCCGTGAGCAAGCGCTGGACATGTCTGCAAGCGCAGAAGTGGGGAGCTGGATTTCGCAGTTAGTTGAAAAATGAAGACACAAAAGGTACTTTTCGCTGTAAAGTGCCTATTCCAGTTGAGCATCTCACCCTGAATCGGAAAGTGATGGTGTTCTTTCGTAACTGGCTCTCTCGAGTATATCCGTTCTCGTCATCCAGTTCATAGTTTTACTCTGCCCGCTCCTTTCGATCTTTTGTCTCTTTAGGACGAGCTGTACGTTCACTTCACCTCCGACAATGGTCGTTTCCATGTGGAAGCAGGGTACGGCATCGTGATGTGTGAAATGGTGGTGTCAGTACGATACCCCCCCCCCTCTAAGAGTTGTACTCGATGCGACCCCTTCCCCGGCACCAATTTTCACCTTACCGCTGTCCACCGCCTTTCCAACGAAGTTCCTGTTTAGGTTCCCCTCACTTTTCTCCGAAATTTCACACACTTTCCAGGCTTCTTTTCCCAGAAAATTTCCGGGGAAAGATATACAGCCAATGAAACGGGAAAGACCGCGAAAAGTCGACAACCGGGAAAATTTTTTTCCAACGCGCAAATTTCCTAACAACGACCGAATACGATCTCTGCCTCCCAGAGCCAAGTACGATCTCCCCACTGTGTTTCACTCAACGATTACTGCACGCAGTGGGGGCGCCGTGCCACTTTCTTCATCAAGCACGGGTGAGGGGCTGCGATACAGGGGTGTCCTGTTCATATTCCGCCTTCCTTATTCTCACTGTGCAGTGCTTGTCGCGACAACAAGGATTCTGCTATGTGAAAACGCGCACTCAAGCAGTAGAGAACATCAGCATTCAGACAGCGCAGACAGGTAGCGCGTTTGGCTATGGTTAGGCATGCCGCTAGCTCTGATGTAGTGCGGGCGTAGTATGGAGACCGCACTCGGGTATTACTTCCCTCCCAGCCCCGTTCCCTTGAATTTTTGACCGGACAAATTGAGTCGCACTGCAGATGCGACTTTTTCAGCCCACACGAAAAGACAGGGATCCTCGGAAACTATGTTGTCTCAAACTTGACGGATATCGGGCACATACTTGAGAGCCCACCACCCGTATTTTGCTACTTCGTAATTTTTCTTCAATTGATCGAGTTAAGTTTCTACCGTTCTTTGTGTTTCGGCCAGTCTCAAAATGTAATTCAGCACGTTCCTCAAAAATCTTCTTGCCAGCGGACAACCGAACAACTGGCAAGAGATATGCGTTAGCCACCTGTGAACTGAGTGTTTGGTAGCTAACAGTAGTATGATTACGACAAAAAGCCAGGTTGGAAATAATTTTGATGAAATTTGACCTACCTGACGAATAGCCTTCAGCAAGCCCTCGTCCCGTGAAATATGTCAGCCTTGTATTGAACCATTCTGAAACACAGCTTGGTTTTTATAGATCGTTGCTCCATATTTCATTTTTTGAGAGAACCACACATACATGCCGGCAAAAACCGCGAGTTTTTTGTCAGATAAAACGTGTCATTCTAGGAAAAGGGACCGTCAGAAACTGGGTTCGGCCTAGATAGGGAGAAGGGTCAAAGGGCGCAAGAATCCTTATAGAATCCTTTTGCTAGTTTATTGCCAGCTAAAGAGGTAAAGGTAGGTGAGAAGCCCCACCAAAGTGAGAAAGCTGCGGTACAAGTGTACAAGTTCAAGGAGTACAAGTGATCCATTTCAGTAAGAAGTATTCACAAGTCTTTACAAGGTGGTCCTCGCTCGCGAACTATTTGGTGCCCCCTCCAAGCCGAATGGCGCCAAGAACTTTTGCGAATATTCGTAGAGGGTGACACATGGTGAGACCGAGGAGACAAATCACTGCAGTAATTAAACGAGTAACTTCCACCATCGAATTGTAGTAGTTTCAGAATAGTCACAGGAGAATAAAGACGAAGTGTTCACAGCAGCCCTCCCCTTTGGGAAGGAAGCGGCACTGACTCGTTTGTTTGCTGCGGATGCTGGGGAGTGTCAAGTGGCTTGCTCTGGCGCGGCTCGCCTGTTCTCCACCCATTGTTGAAGGTGGCAAGCGAGAACAATTGGTGGGAAACGGGCTTGCTGGGGCGTGTCAGGGAAGGGGGAGGGGCGGAGCCGCACAAAACCTAGCCTCACTGACACGCTTCAGCGTGCGCCTCAATGAATGCAGAGTTGATCTGCACTAGACGGCACTGCTTTTCTATAGCAGGCTGATGAGGGTTAGGTATCGTAATCCTTTTTAGTGACCAATAATCAGTAGGGAATTTAACCTAATCAGCAGAAGGGATTACGTTCTCATTCTCATGAGCTTTGCTGCCTACAGGACTACCCATCGCATCCGTGGATATGGGCCGTCGATCTGTGTTTCCTCTTGTACTCACCTCCCCCTTCAGGGTTTCCTCCTCTGGTACGACCCTTCTCCGATCCTAACTGCTATGTTCCTGAATTCTTTCTCAGCTTTCTACCATGAGCGAAGGCTAGTTACGTGTAAAGGAAAACACCCAGGAAACACACAACGGGCAGCTATCTTTATGCCAAAAGCGGGAAGAGGAGGCATTTAGCGCCAATAAAATGGGAAATTAACGTCGTTAGTCGTAAAAAACGTAAAAATCCTTCTAGGAGCCAAACACAACTCCTGATAAGATTTTCACAACTATGATGTACAACATCGCTGTCCCACTTCCTTAGCGTTTTCACAGTTTCTGGATAACGCTAACAACGTATACAGAAGCAGATCATTAGGGTACTTCGGCGGGGGGGGAGGGCAGGGGGAGGGCACTTTGCAACTTCTGTTGCTCCATCGACCGGTGTCGACCCATCATAGAGCAGCCTTTTTGGGTTGGGCAGGTTTTATCAATGATGGGCCTCGCACGAGCGTTGCCTCCAGCTTTACAGGAGCCCTGTTTACAGGCTGTCACCAGAGAGAGACATGTAATCCGTAATCCTCAGTGATAAGCGCAAAAATGCCCCACCACGTCGCCGATACTTGCGCGCAAACCAATTCATTCCCCTAGTCTCCCTGGGCGTCCCCAGGATAAAGGATAGATACAATGAAGTCTGCCTTTGTCTAAAGTGAGGCAGGCGCATTTAGGCTATTATACAAACAGAAAATTGATGGCCTCTTGGCGCTTGTCAATGACTCACTTGCACTAGGGACGTCGTACGAATATGATTTGGTTCTCCCCTGCCTTTGGTCAATCTAGTGTCCGCGAGATTGTTGAGCCTAGCACATAATTCAGTACTACTTATCACACCAGAGTTTTGTGTCTGCGACAAGCTAAGAACAGTAGCGTGAATTGTATGTGGTAGTTTCCAGCGGCAATTGCGGCAGCGCAGCTTAGCCCAGAGCATCCTGCCAGGCTCTTCGCAGGTTAATTTTAGCCGCAGTGACTCGTTGCATCGATGACTGTTGCAGAGCTGTTAAACACATGTGTAATGCCGCTGAAAAGTGGTCACCAGTGCGATGGAATGCGGCCAGACTGTCCAGCGACCTAGAAGCCGACAGACGAAGAGCTATAAGAATCTAGGCCAAAAGGATTTCTCAAGCAAGCAAAATCTATTCAGTTCTTCATAGGGATGCGTTAGGATTATAGCGTTGTAGAGAACGAACGCCTTACCGTCTTTTGAAAGGTGATTTTTCCGGGCACATAATTCCTGCTGAATTCCTCTTGAAATCTGAAATTCAGTTGCGAGAGCTTTGTCTGGTCTAGAAAGATGTACTGACACACTTTTCTGCGATTGGATTTTTCTCAAGTTCAGCCTATGAATAGATGTGACATCCCTCTGGCTGATGCAGATAACACCCCACATATAGTTAAACAGCGAGCTCAGAATGTGATTTTCCGTTGTTGCAAAGTCCGTGGAGTATGGGAGCTGCTACAAAAGCTTCTGCAGGTTTCTGAAGGGTGCTACTGGCAGCCTTCGATTGGTGAAAGGCTGTGAATCGGTGGAGCAAAATGACTTGCCTCGTTCATGAGTTCTTCATAAATGAATGACCTCGTTTCTCAATGTGATCGAACTATATGAATTTCCCATCGATCGCCCTAAATTTCCCAGCATTTGCGCGTGCCGTAGACCTTCCCGACCTCATCAATATGTCGACCGGAGCGGTGCATTTCGTTCTGGTATGAAGCGCTATTCGTGGCCTCTGCAAACCAATGTCGAGCAGCCGCTGCAGCTACACATAGGAGGTGCAAAAGTCCCCAACCCGTTGCTTTTAATCGCTTTGACAAAAAATGTCGGCACTACTGTTTCTCGCCACCTAGAACTTCGTTTTCGGAAACCTGAATTCGACGAAATTCGATGACTCAAGAAAAGTTCTAACTGAAGAGCGTACTCTTGTAGACCAGATGAAGCCCTCAAAA